TTATATTACACATTGAATCGTTGTATTATTGTGACATTCGGTTATATTACACCTTGAATCATTGTATTAGTGTGACATTCAGTTATATTACACCTTGAATCATTGTATTAGTGTGTCGTTCGGTTATATTACACCTTGAATCATTGTATTAGTGTGACATTCGGTTATATTACACCTTGAATCACTGTATTAGTGTGACATTCGGTTATATTACACCTTGAATCACTGTATTAGTGTGACATTCGGTTATATTACACCTTGAATCTGTAATATAACTGAATGTCACACTAATACAATCATTGAATCGTTGTATTAGTGTGACATTCGGTTATATTACACCTTGAATCACTGTATTAGTGTGACATTCGGTTATATTACACCTTGAATCATTGTATTAGTGTGACATTCAGTTATATTACACCTTGAATCATTGTATTAGTGTGACATTCAGTTATATTACACCTTGAATAATTGTATTAGTGTGACATTCAGTTATATTACACCTTGAATCAACGCTGAGTAGGATTCTAACTTCGTCAAATCATCAAATATCCAATAATTATCCTGAAAAGTTGACTCGTGTTTCATAATCTTACAGAATTGTTGCTCACTTCCACAATATTTAACCCTCTAGTTGTATATTTTAGTAATATTGTTTTCATATTTATAAAAAAACAACATATTAAATTACTTTATTGTGCTTAACATTCCCAGTGATAATAATACACATCTAATATCAATATTTCCCCTCCTACATTATTAGTTAGACTGTGTAAACTTTATAATATCAGAGTTAACACAAAGTTTCGTATTCTACACTTAACTTAATGTCGAAGTTCACGTCGTATATGAAAAAATCTAAAAGTTGTACATAAGAAATAGATAATTCAATATGATAAGAAATGAAGCTGAGCATAAACACAGGTTTCCCCCTATTTTTGTTTGGATTAACAATACACACATATGCTGGGTAATGAAAAACGTTATTATAAATGTAGTTTCATTACCCAGTCATGTCGTGTCAGAACTTATATTTCTAAAAAGTGGATTCTTCGTTATCATGTTTCAAGTATCAAGTTCGTATATATTTATCAACAGAATTCATACAGACATCTTGACAATAATGTTACAAAGAAAAAGGTCTTTACTCTCCAGATAATAAGAATAATAATATTTTAATAGCCCTAATGAAGCTGCAATGACGAAACGTTGGCTGAAATAAAAAGTTTTATATTATTAACTGGAGAACAAAGGTCGTTTTTTTCTAACGTTATTGTCAAAATGTCTAAATTCTCCAATATGCACAACAACTAAAACAACAACAAAATTTATACAGACGATTTCCTTTTTCTGCAGTTATCTTAAGAATTATCAGCTTGTTTGTAATTGTTTAGAAATTATTTTTTGATTTCACGAAGTGAAAATTACACGAGCTATGATATTATTGTAACACAGTAATAAGAAAAAATCCGATCAAGAAATGTTTCACTATAGGTGGCGTTGCAATTCAAATGTATGTTAAAATGTATATTATATGTTGTGGTATTCAGGGTGTGTGTAGAGTTGCAGCTAAACAAACAGGCGAAGTGATTCGTTTACCAATATTATGCGATTAAGGCCACTGGTCATTTTATGAAGCGCATAATATGCTTTGTTTAATAATATTGTACACTTGGAACCACTGGTTTGGTTTGGTTTGTTTGAAGTTAATTACTAAGCTACACAATGGGCTATCTGTGCTCTGCCCACCATGGGTATCGAAACCCGATTTCTTGCGTTGTAAATCTACAAACATTGGGCTATCTGCTGTGTCCACTGCAGAGAATCGAACCTCGGATTTTAGCGTTGTAAGAAAAAAAGTCTGGAAACTTACCGCTTTTCCACTGGCGGGCGCAACCAATGGACACTGTATGAAACACATAAGATGGTTCGTTTAATAATATTGCACAATTGCAACCATTGGCCATTTTATGAAGCCAATAAGATGTATCTTTTTAGATGATTTGTTTAATAATATTGTATAATTGCAACCGTTTACCTCTTTATGGAACACACAAGATGGTTCGTTTAACAACACTGTACAGCTGCAACCGTTGGATACCTAATGGGGAACTTGAAAAAGTCATCGGTGAACATCAAATACGAGTTTCGTGTGTTGTCCACTTTTGGGATGGATATATTTCTCCTTGATCCTTATGATTTGTGAAGAAGTGTACCAAATATTTTATGAGATTATCGAGACTATTACTCATGTGAAAACATTATTTTTTAACTATGTAATTTTTGAGCAACCGAAACTTGAAAAACTTGAGCAACTTGAAAAAAAAAACATACAACTAAATTTTAAGTGACTTCATCTCTTTTAACCAAACTACAGGATTACTTTATATCTCAATCTGATATATCTTAGTCTGAGGAAGTATAAATAAAATAGTTAATAAAGTAATTGCACTAAATGAAAACCACATATTTCCTGACCGTCTTGGTGGATTGTTAAGAAATTTTAATTTATAACACAAGACACCACAGAATTTTGTGACACGAGGTTTAGATTAGGTGACACTATGATTAACACGTTCACAAATATGTAGTTATCATCTATTTGAGTTTGAAGGTAGCGTATAGAGTCATAAAATATGTTAAAACTACCCTTAATATTTTACTAAACATCTTTTAGAATAAAATGAAAGTCCTATTTACACTACAAGGTAATCACATGGAAATAGTCCATGCGATATAAAAGGCTGGTTTCGCACACCCTGGTCGTTCATACCTTCTTCCAAAGACAGTTTTTCATTTACAAACTTTAATTAACCTAAGTGAAACAGATAAGGGAAGAGTCATTATCGTGCTTGGAGATGGAATTTTCCATTATCAAGTGGCAATCTTAATTATTATCATTACCCAAAGCATAATCTGTACAGCTTCGAATCCCCCCCCCCTTTTTGACATTGGAGAGTCCAAAAAATATGTGGGAGTGTTCGACCCAGAATAACGATAGTGGTGTAGGGCTGGTGTCTGATAATTACTGCTAGTCGACAAAAGAACGCCAATACCAGAATCTCCAGGAACAACTTATACAGACAAAGAGGGTAAATGTTTCAATAAAAACAACTATAAATTACCCAAAAATGTTGATTTACTTGGCCACAAGTTATCAAATGCACCAACAGGCTTGTACACGTGAGCATGCTGAATGAACAATGGTTCAGTGGAGCAAGCTGTGATGTGTCCAGGTTCCGCTTGTACCATAATGAACATTTGAGAAACGTTACGGAATACATGCAATGCTCAATGGGCTGCCTTTGAGGTTGAGTCAATAATAATGTGGACTAGTCGTGTGGGCCTGTAAACCATCCAAGAACATACAATGACTGATATGGGGTATATATATATGAAATACTTAATCCCATCGCGAAACCATTTGCGAGTGTAGTTGGCCCATCTTTCATCCTAATGGACAACAATTTCGCTTGACGTGAACCCGATTGAATACATCTAGGACATACATCGCTGTGAATGGAGTTCAGTAAAACATTACACGTTGATAGAGAGAGGACCTAAAAGCCTTGCTCGTTACTGGAATGAGTGTTATTTGATGAACCCTAAGTTTTCCAGAAGAATGTATACTAAAAATTTCTGTATGGAGCAACCAACTGCATTCTACGTGCTGGCCAATGGTGTAATTTTATATTAATAAAGAGTACTTATTGTACGCTTTCTGAATGTAGATGGCAATCTTAGCAATCTTCACGTAACAATAATATAGAATAAAAGTTGAATATCATTTTTAGTCTGAAATAACTTAAAGAGCTTAAATACCTACGTTTTTTCATTAACGTGTTATAAAATGCACCATAAAAGACGTTTTCTAAAGGTTTTCTCATAGGTTAAACAACAAACAATTTCATTAAACTATCTTACTTGTTCTTCTGCGTTATCCGCTTCAAAGAGCTGTGCTACCTGTTCATCAGCTGCTGCGTCGTCTGATGCATCGTCTGCGTCAGACGCCATAACTAGAAAACATCAAAATACTGTATCATAGCAACGGCCAGTGTAATCTCTTGTTACATAAGAAGTCTTACTATGTCTTTCCATTCTGTGTGTCACTAAACCCTCGGGAAAGCATGCAATTATGAGCTACAAAATTAGAAATAGTAACGTTTTATTGACTACAAACATCGATAGGCAATCAGTAAGCATACGTGAATACATATGTATTGTGTGCAAGAATCTAGACTAGTTTGTGATTTATTTTTAAAACCTTGACCTACATTGTGTACAAGAATCTAGACTAGTTTGTGATTTATTTTTAAAACCTTGACGTACATTGTGTACAAGAATCTAGACTAGTTTGTGATTTATTTTTAAAACCTTGACGTACATTGTGTACAAGAATCTAGATTAGCTTGTGATTTATTTTTAAAACCTTGACCTACATTGTGTGTAGTAATCGAACTATATTTTAAATTTTTACTAAACATTTTAGAATGTATTCTTTACTTTGCTAATCGGCTTATTTAATTATTCTAACACTGATAGCACATTTCAGACGACGCTACAAGATTGACTGTAAGAACTTTTAACATTTCCACCTCTCCACGCTGCAGTTGTTTTTGCAAGTTATACATTTTTTACAACTACTTATACACGACCTACTGAATTCAAGGTTATCGAAGTTCTCTGTCTACAATGTAACACTTTGCCTTCTTGCCTAAAATATACCATCAAAGGGATGATGTGGTGGGAATGGGTTGATTACGTCACTATTATTTAATGTATAATCACATGACTTGATTAAGTCATGAACTATATCTTATCACATGATCCTGTATATTTAAATATTTTATTTATTTGGTGATCTCAATGGATAATTATGATGACATAAGCTTTAATGTAAAATACCTGAGATATCACATGATCAATAATGTAAATATAGTTGATCATTAATAACAACCGCTAACTGTGAAAGTACGAAAGTAATAATAAACTAGAACAAACATGGGCATAATGTACTGATGCTTCCAAATCCTAACTGTGAGAGTACGAAAGTAATAACAAACTAGAACAAACATGGGCATAATGTACTGATACTTCCAAATCCTAACTGTGAGAGTACAAAAGTAATAACAAACTAGAACAAACATGGGCATAATGTACTGATACTTCCAAATCCTAACTGTGAGAGTACAAAAGTAATAACAAA